TTATGTTATGATTGATTTAGTTGTTAAAATACATAAGTTGGTTGGTAATTTTAGTCTTGTATGTAATGACCGATTTATCAAAAAGTGACAATGTTAACAGTGGTAGCACTGCTTCAATTGTTAATTTTTGAAATTTGAACATGTTTTATTTACAATATCAATGGAACAGTGATATTGGTGATGTGGCTGATCAATATTAGTACTAGTACCTAACATGCTAACAGCTTGTATGTCACTTTTTTAACAAAAATTGACATTGGCACTTTCATGGGTGGAAGGAGGGGTGGGCCATAGCCCACCGTTGAGATAGCCCAGGTTCTTTTAAAAAAAAAAGTGGATATTACATAAAAGCAAAATTTTTAAGTTAACATTTCAAAAGTCAGACTTAAAGTTTTTTTTTTCTTTTTACAAAAATCAGAACATAATTAAACATTTAAATATTAATAATAATATTTTAAAACTAAATTAATCTATATACCCACCCCTATCCACCCAAAACCTAATTTTATCATCTTTCCCTCCTCTCTACATTTCTCTCCCTCCTCTCTCTACGATGCCGGAGCGACTGCCATATGGGAGGTAAAGCTACTGCTTCGCCCAGCTGCAGTGCGACACCTCTGCTCACGGATGGGCAGCTCTGAGCAACGCCGCGCTATATCTCTTCGAGGGGTGCTGTGCCGTTCAATCCAGTGGTTTTTCCAGGTGGATCGCGGCATTCAATCAGGTGGTTTCTCTGGCGATTTTTGTAATGATTTTGCTTGTACACATAGATCGGTGGTTTTGTAGTGATTTTGATGCATGTTTTCTGGTGGTTTTTTAGGGGCGGTTTGGTGGTGTTAGTGTGTGGTGGTAGTGGCGGCTCCATGGTGTTAGTGTGTGGTGGTAGTAAGTAGAATTAAATCGTGTAAATTCAAACTAAGAAAAAAGATCGTTAGGGGATAGCAAATTGCTGAATGCATTCAGCTGTTCCTGTAAAGTGTGGAAGGAGAATGGTAATAGTGCGAGGGATCAATTTCTAAATTTAACTAACAAACTGTTCCAACCATGAAGTGAGAGGAGGGTTTCAATTTAATTTTCCATTCTATTTTGAAGTGAAAGAAACTGATTAAGTGTTTTGAAACTGATTAAGTAAATATGAAAGATAAACTAGTA